GATGCTAACCACAGAGCCACCTTGCAGCCTACAAAGCAGACAGTTGACAAGAAATACAGAAATTAACTTGCTGTTCATGACAATTTTCAGCAGAGGTCGCACTGCACCAACATTCATCTGGAAGCTTTTTTGGGTTTTTTTTCCAACAAAAAAAAAAGTTCTCCACCTTATCAAGATCTACAATGTTATCTGTCACACAAACTGAGAAAATCAGTTTGAAAGAATTGGGGGTGTTTTATTATGAGCATCCTCTGGAATATTATCAGTGCTACCTCAGTTTGTAAGAACATTTGCAGAACATCCCTGTCGCACCACGCTTTCTCCACAATGACTGAAAACAGAATAAGACGGGGATACAGATGTATTCGTTTGCCAGAGTGTTGTCCTGTTTGTGTTGTGTTTTCCAGCATGTATTTCTGTTTTCTTTGCCTTCTTCCGCTTCCTTTCTTGCGATTGTGACACTTTGTTTTGTTTATCCAGAGCAGATAAAAAACATTACACAACACGAATATTTGTGTTTATACAGGAAAAGGTTGAGATTAGGCCTAACTGTAGGACGACATTATTATTATTTTTTTTAGACTTCCCAGAGACGGACTGAGCTTCTCGTTCTCAGAATACGTGCATATTAAACCGGTTAGGTAAGGTTTGAACAATAGAGAAAATCGACAGCCCGTCTATTTTAGGAACATCCTGAGCAAGGCAGAGAGTATTTTCACACAGGCCTGACGCATTAAAGAGGAAATAAAGCTAACTTAATTAACTTGCACGGTGCATGCAGCTAAATATACTCAGCAGGTCTGATGATGCCTTACTCACGTCTGCAGGGGTTTAACATGGTGAGTAAGAAGCAGTGGGTGGTGGTGGCTTTAAGTCTGCTCAGCCTTTGTTAAACCAGTTTAACTAATCTACACACAGAAGCGCAGCGAGAGCATTAAAACTCAAGAGAAATATCACTAGAAAGGGTTTATTCAGAATGTATATGGACAAGTGGTTCATTGCTTTTTGCCTGAATGACTAAAAAAGTTTTGTTGCCATAATAAACACAAAAAAAATTGGTATTTTATTCATGCTATTAACTACCAAAGATGTTTGATTTGTCTTCACCAACTAGTCAATGTTTTTTTACGCACAATCACTGCCACTTGTTTCACAGTTTGGTTACTGGTTACCTAATTTTATGGTTATTCTGTAACGACAAGAGAAAAAGATGAAAGTAAAGTGAAAGTGCTGGTGAGTGAATCTCACCTCATGATGCTCTGCTGACTGTCTGTTGACTGACTTGTTTTTCTGACAGCTTGCTTTTGCTGCACCGAAGAAACGAAAGAAACGTCTTTTTTCAGGGTTTTCAATCACTTGAATGCATGAAGTTGTCGAGCTGTGTCTCAAACAGTACCTGAGCTGTGTCGTACCCAGGACAGTTGTACTATGGAGTCACGCAGAAGTCAGCATGAAGTCTGCCAGACAACTCACAGCACTCACTTTGACTTTAATAATGTTTAGTATTTTAAATGTGTCCCTCAGGAAGTCAATGCATACCAGATCCTAGCAGCCAGGTTCATCATTCAGACTCTGCGAGGCAATAAAAGCAGCAGCTGCAGCATCAGCTCTGCAGGATGAGCCCGTGTGTTTGCTGATGTTGTAAAATGCGCTCGTTCACCAACATAGGAAAATATTACTACACAAATTACTACAGCAATAAAGCTAAAAACAAATAGAAATACATTGTACTGGATTAGATTTGATCTGGAGAAGCTTTGAAGAAAGTAATCTTTTTAAAAATTATTTCCTGGACTTGCTTTACAGGTACATGCTGACTCCCATCGTTCTGTCTTTGCTTGTTTTTGACTTTTTCCATCTCATCTGTGTACTGTTCCTATTGAATCTTTACACAGTTCTGCTGTGTCTTTGACTGCTTTTTACACTTTATGTTTCCTGCCTCCTTAACACTGCTTTATTGTTATGTGTGCCCCCACAGACCCTCTCCTGGAGTGTACGTTTTATAAGAATGATACTAAAACTCCTTCTTTTATTACATCTAGTTTGTTTTGTTAAATTGGAAGTAGTAACCACAGATTAAAGGCATTCATTCACATATTAACTGTAAAAAGAATAAAAGAATAAAAGAAAAAAGAAATGAACCAAAACTGTAAATAATGTCCACATCAAAACTCTGAATTTAAAAAAAAGAAATGTTGTTTTACAACCTATGACTATAAATTATACACTTTTCAATGTCTTTAAAACAGCAAAATTAATGTGATTTTGTATATGAAGGATTTAAAAAAAATAGTAAATGTTTTATAACTGCTATTTTACAGATTTTTCCCTGTTTTCTTAAATTATAGATAATAATTGGTAAATTTACAGGAAAAAAATATTAATGTACATGTTGACTGTAAAGAAAGAAAGAAAGAAAGAAAGAAAGAAAGAAAGAAAGAAAGAAAGAAAGAAAGAAAGAAAGAACAAAAACACTGGCCAAAACTATAAATAATGTCCACATAAAAAAATTTTATTTTTCATTCAGGATTCATTCTTTTAGACTGTGTGATCATAAACTTTGACTGTTTACAGGTATTTAAATCCACCAAAAAAACAAACAGAAAAATTTAGCATGATGTCCACATTAAAAATCTATAATTTTAATAATCTGTTCTTGTACNCTGTAAACTAAAAACCGTCATATAGGTATGTAGTTTAAACTAAATTTGGTTAAATGTGATGTTTGAGTTACGTATGACTAATATTTCAACCACATTGGAACCTGTTTGCTCGTCTTCTGACCTCCACATCACTGATTTAGTGGTTACTGGGACTATTCAGAGCCTGAGGTGTACCATCAGTGTGCAAGCATCACAGCTGGATGTGGTTTCAGCTCATGTCTAATCAACTCACAGCACATTTTGTATAATTACCACAAGAACTACTGCTCATACTGGATCCGTCTATATTGCTTGTGTACATATACACACATCAGAACAGTCCACATAAACTATGAACTCTGTCCTGTGTGCAGCGTTGGAGAGTTTTGAATGTTTCCCAGACGAATCAGATTTATTGATCTTTGACCCTGAGCAGCAGGAGAGCCACAGGTGGAACTAATAACGCTAACGATGCTTCTGTTTCAGCAGTTAAAGCAAAGTACCATTAGATATGACGAGTCAGTGAGTCAATAGGCCCTCTCTGGTTTAGTTTTGCACCGTATTTCTTAACCTGGTCGGGGTTTTGAAGCCACTGAACCAGATGGACTCATTAAAACGTGATCCGTGTGAGATTAGACTTCCAGTTCAAAGGTGCACTTAACCAGTTTAACCAGTTTTAGGTGAAGAAAAAATAAGTTTGAAGGATGTGAAGTGGAGAAATACATTTAAAAAAACCTTTGCAGCTCGTTATTGTAGCACAATGCAACCAAATCTCCAACGGAAAGGCTTGCTGCCGTGTTGCATTGTGGGAAATGTAGGCGCAGCAAGAAGAATGTTGAGTCAGAGTGACTTCACTAGAAATCCTACATTGTTTTGCAGTAAATTTGCCTTTTAAAATGTAAATATAACAACAATTAATAGTCAAGCAGTTTGTGTGAAATATGAATCTCTACTTATCAGTCAGCATCACACTACTCACATCCATCCATCCATCATCTCTACACCTTAATCCTCAC